AAAAAAAAAAAAAAAAAAAAAAAAAAAAAAAAAAAAAAAAAAAAAAAAAAAAAAAAACTCTAATTTATGTATTTATGTAAGTATTTCGTAAACATGAATATACCTTCAAACGTTTTTGATTCCACTACTACTTCACAATTTTTTGTCACGAACAACCTCTTTTTTTTCGTTGCAAGAATATTTTGATATGATAATCCTCGTTTTGGTACGCAAGAATCTGTTGACGACGATTCTCTCGTTCTTTAATTTTGAATTCGTGATTTCCTGAATTATAGGGAATCACGATCGCCATGTTTTTCATTTTTTTTTTTCTGTTCAACGTGTTTACCGTTTTCTTTGCGTCAATCTCGCATTCTGTAGATGACTATCGATATAGGGAGAGATAAGAAAGATATCTGATGATTTATTACAGTCTCGTAATTTAAAAAAAAAAAAAAAGAATCACTACTGAATCCTCTTTTGATTATGTTTCCTACTAATTGTATTTATGTAAATTTTTCTAATCTAGGGTTACATATGTATTTTTCCCTTAGTATATAGCCCATGCAATATACAAGACATTTATTGTTAAATGGATAAGTCCAATAGGAGACCTATCCATCGCTCTAATAGTAATAGAGTTGAATCATACATTTTTTTTTACCTATTTTAATCCGTGTTTTTTTTACTCTGAAACCTGATCTTGTTAGAGGCTAAGCTATAAGTTAACCTATATATTAGTCTGCTAACTCATTTATATTAATATAAGTATAAATTCAATAAATATATTTATTTACTTATATAGGTAAAAATTTAATAAATATATAATTAATAGATTAATATGTTAGAAATCAACAATGCGGGACTATGATAAATACAAAATGTAATTAAGATGAACAAACAAAATTGAGACGGAATCAATGTTTGCTTTTATTAAGCTTGCACGTTTATCTCGTGTTTCTTGTGTATTTATACTTTTTGTGTATTTTTTCCATGCCCTAACCGTGTGCAAGTTGTTACAATTTATATTGTTTAGAAAGTGAAAAAATCATGACTCCTTGATTAGTCACTGTACACGTGGCTTTCGTTTGATGGTTAAGCTTCATACAGAGTGATTAGTGGCTTTCGTTTGATGGTTAAGCTTCATACAGAGTGATTAGTGGCAGCGCATCTTTTTGGGATGAGGCATCTATCCGGTTCATGGGTGGTAATCCGGTTCACACTCCCATGACATTATTGTTAATATTTCATATTCTTGATCAACATAGTAAACTTGTAAAAAAATGACATAATTTTTTTCAAACAACTTGGAATCTTATTACAGAAAGAAAAAGAAAAAAAAAACACACACACACACACACACACTCATTTGTATGGGTATCCATTCCTATTTGGGAAGACAAATTCAAAACTGTCAAGACCCAGACTTTGCAAACGAGCAATGTTATGTCTTCAAGCAGAGCTTGATGAAAGAACCCTATTTCTACTATCTTTACCCAAACTTTTTTCCGTCTCAATAGTAAAAAAGCTAAGGACCGCGAGGCTGACAAACGATCATCATCGCAAGTGATCACCAGAATAGATAATCAGTTATTCCTATCCAGCAAAAGGGCAAAAAAAACTATATCAACCTGTTTAAATATATTTAGCTCAAAGCAAACACATGTCGACCAAGAAAACAAAAGATCAGACTTTGGCATATCAAAACAAGGAGTTCTCTGCACATGCTCAAGATTCGAGCTTAGCATCAGGAATTTCGTTGGTAACCTTAATTTGTGAATCCAGCGGCAACATAAATTTTAGCTTCACGCCTTGAAGTATTTTGAGGGACGGTTTTGAATTGGCGTACTGCAAAAAGGCACAGGGACAATTAGTATCAGTAAGAAGAAGTAGAGTTTCGCATTTGCAAACAAGTAAATTGAAAGAAGCAATAAAAGATAGTTAAAAAATTAAAAGAAAAAAATCCTATTTAATTGCTCCGTCGGTGTAATTTTTATCATTGGATCGGTAATCTTTTCTCTTTCTTCTAATGCTACCCTTGCAGTAATTACAACCACAGCTAAGTGCTTATTGAAACCGAGTACATCAACAAGAAGAGTTTCGGTCAATCTTTGGAATCTTAACGGGATCCCCTTATGGATATGCAATTTTCATTAAATAAAAATGTTTGCTGAGCAGCAATTTTTTTTTCTTTTTCCTGATAGGTCGCTGAGCAGCATTCTAATTTAGAAGGTAATTGATCCAACTAAACCCTGGGGATAGTATTCTTTCATAT